CTCTACGCAACACCGCCAGAAAGCCAGTCTGGATTTTCCATGAATCCCGACACGATGCACTGAAGCAAGGCACCATGTCCTCCTCATGCTGATGGGATACTGCACACGGGAGAAAGCCAGAAATGGCAATTCTGTTTGGCCTGTTGGAACACGGTTCAATGGAGAGCTGTCCTCCTTTTTGAAGGATCTACAGTGGCAGTCCTCAACGATCACGGGCGATATACTGCAGCAGTCCCCAACTGTCACCGGTAATCTACTGCAGCAGTCCTCAACGATCACCGGTGATCTACTGGAGCAGTCCTCAACGGTCACCAGCGATCTACAGAGGCAGTCCCCAACTGTCACCGGTGATCTACTGCAGCAGTCCTCAACGGTCACTGGTGATCTACTGGAGCAGTCCTCAACGGTCACTGGTGATCTACTGCAGCAGTCCTCAATGGTCACTGGTGATCTACTGGAGCAGTCCTCAACGGTCACTGGTGATCTACAGAGGCAGTCTCCAACAGGCACCAGCGATCTACAGAGGCAGTCCCCAAGGGTCACCAGCGATCTACAGACGCAGTCCCAACGGGCACCAGCGATCTGCTGTGGTCACTGGCTATGTACTGTGGCAGGCCCCAGTGGCAACAGGTGATCTACGGCAGCAGTCAATAGTGGGCAGTTGATGCTCTACTAGTAATTATCTACCATCGCGCCAGAACAAGGAGCACATTTGAAGTTTTACAGGCCTACAAACGACCGTGGCTTAATTTAAAATTAAACGCATACAAGACCAAGAACAAGGAGCCTGCTGCTTGACAACAGTTCATTTGTACTTCCCCAATGGTCTTTGGTTAATTAAAATGTGCATCCCCAATGTGCCTTTTCAGTTTAATGCAAAGGTACACAATCAATGGCCACACATTGTATGCGAAATTAAAATGGATAAAACTGTGCTCAGAGAAGGGGCGGCAGGAGCTAATCTGAAATACCAAATTAAATTTCTCTGTGCGCTTCGGCAGGTTAAGCCCACCTGGACTGCAATTACATTCTGGACCCAGCCATTAACAGTCATCAGATTTAATTACTAAGAGATTGGTACCTCTGCCCCCCCCCAGCTCTACTCCTCCCTCCAAGAACGATAATGAAAAGATAAAGCAATTGTCCCTGATTACAAGTCACATTAACAGTGTATCAATTAAAGAACAAGTCCTAGATCAGGTAGGCTGCATCTTGTGCTAAGATTTTTTTTAACAGAAAAAAACAGCCGATACTTACAGGCACACCAAGACTGCTTTGTGACCTCAATTAAACTTGTTGCAGCTCTGGAATTACAAACTGTCCAGCTTTATACAAGCAGTCTCCGCTTCAGGCACCACACTGAACCTCAGGGCTGGAAATTAAAGCTTGCTTAAGCCCTGTGGTCCAGTGCAAGCTCTTGCACCAATCTTCCTCATGAAGCAGAAATAAAAATCCTGTAACTCATATTATTCTTAAATCAACACATATTATTTAATCTCTGGACAACAGAAGGAGACACCTCAAAACTTATTTCAGTACAGCAATGAAGATGGTATTTGCACAAGAGAACATGGAGAGAGAAAGGTACAGGGACAATGTATTAGCTTCTTTTTGTAAGTCTTTTTGTCCTCTCCAAAGATAAATGTGCAGCAATCACACAGCTACCTGGTCTTCCCAAGACCTTCTGTCTGGTTTCTTCTGAAATCACACGGCACATGCACATACAGTACAGACAGCAACCATGGCTTTATTATTACAACCACAGAATCTTTTTTGTGTGTCAATGACGTGCGACACTTCCAAGCAGTCATTTCAAGCTTTAATTTCTCTTTAATGTAATCATCGGCCCACACCTATTTGGTTTCAACAACACAAAAAGGTAAGAGTAGAATTTCTGAGGTGGCAAGAGTGTTAATGGTGTGGTCAAGCAGTTGGTACCCAGTCCACAACCTATCACAAGCCAGATTAGGCTCTAAATCAACTTTTCAGAATCATGCTCAGAATTTACAGGACACAGGACTGCACTCACATTTTGGCCATAATAAAACTGTGCATGGGGCAAATTTCACCAATGGATATTCCCCATGCTATACACCACTGCAGTGACACAGCACAGCGTGGTGTGAGAAACCACGAGAAAATGTGTCAAATGTATAGAAATCCAGGGTCAATACCGTGAAAACACAGACTATTAACCAGACTTAGTGGGAAGACTATGAAGTAACAGACAAATAAATTCTGGATCCCGAGATGAAGTTTAAACTGATGAGTTTTATTGCATGCAAGGAACAATAAGATCGAAGTATTGTTCGAAATACAGGTACAAAACTTCTGGTTATATAGCACATTTCAGCCACAATTTCTGACGTAGTTCGTTTCGATAGTAATGGGGAGAGGTCACGGTGTTCGGACAGTCCCCCAGACTTTGACCACTCTTAATGGTCAGTTTTAGGTTTCCTTCGTTGGGGGGGGTTCCTATTTGGCATCTAGAATCCTTATCATTTAACCCTCTTTCCTACCATAACCTAAAGCCTGGAATGTCTTGTGTCACAAGAAGCCCAGTCCTTGTGCAGAAAGGAATCAGTTAACCCCTTCTTCACATCTTATATCTTTCTTCATTTATGTAGTAAAAGGCAGTTTTTTAATCATTTTAAAGCGGCCTGCATTGAAATCACTAAGAAAATCTTACTTGGCACCAGAGAAGCAAAGAGATATTTAAAGAAAGCAGACGTCTCAATGCAGAGCAGTCTCCAGTGCTGGCAGATGCCCAGGCAAGCACAGTAAACGCAATAAAGTGATCAGTTTTCACAACAGCCACGCTAAGGCGCGAGGTTGCTGCTCCAAATGTTTATTTCCTTCAGGCAACAAACAAAACACAAGAACAATAAATAATTCAATCTGTAACATTAAAAGTTATGATGCTTAAATGGACTTCCGTGAATTGTAGTCGTATACATTAGCCCAGGAGGGGGTCTCGACTCTTTTCAATTTCACTCTCAGTCCCTTTCCGAAATAAATAATGCACAGCCCATCTGGAGCCCTGCTGAAGAAGACAGAGAACTGGGCTCGACAAGTTGGTAGAAGAAAGACAACTGGTACCATGTCCACTGTTAGCCCACACTGTGTCACAGCGCTAATCTGCTGTCGGTGATAATGACTTTTGGAGCGTGTGATTCGTTCTCTCAGGAATCCGAAATGGATCTCATTAATCTTCCGAGCACTTAAGGGCCTGTGAAAGATTTAATTCTTTAAAGCCTCAATTTCCACTCGATTCCCATTATCTTTTCTAATGAAAACTGTCCCCTTCATCAGTCCTTTCAGCGGGAAGGTCTGAGCTCATTTTTTGAATAAAAAACAAGCTTGAAGCATGTCTTTTTTTTTTTTTTGCTTTTAAAAGAAAAAAATGAATATACAGCAGCAGGTACTGTCCTACGAAGGGAACAAGCTGTGGGTTGTAAGAACAGCAGCAGAAGTCGAAATGCTACAGAATTAAACAACATAGACGTTCAAAATGAATAATATTAGTGCGACTGCAATTTATATCAATGTCAAAACAGCACTTTGGCTATTCAAAATACACACTATGGAAGATTAATTAAAACCCCCCTCACGTGCACAGGTCCAGCTCTCTCCTGCTTCATCGCTCATACCAGAAGCTCTATATCATTAATCTGATAAGGTTAAAGAGTTTAGTAGTGGGCATCCCAAGGATATATTAATAAACAGATATAAAGAGGGATGTGAAAACAAAGACGATGTCAGGGTAAAATTAGATAGATAAAGATCCAAAATCACATATCATTCAACCTCATTTTCTGACAGTATATCTAAAAAAATCTACTGTCCATCTAGAATACACCTAGTGTCCATAACATCTTTGATATTGTAACACACTTGTCAGGATCCCCAAACTATTTAATCTGACCTCCATTCTGGCAATGCTATTTTAAACAATTGCACATGCACTTGTCAGTCTGGAGGAAAAACACAGCTAGATCTCAATGCATCCCGAGATGAGACCTTGTAACCAATCTAATTTCACAGCTGTCTGGAAAAAATATAAGCGCTCAACAAAGGCAACCAAGCACTGCTTTGTATACATACAGTAACTAGATAGACTGTAAGTAGGTGTTGCACGTCCTCGGATGTTTACCGGACCTCTGAATGGATGTTTTCATCAAGACCATGGTCCTGTGACACATGGGGGTTTATGAGGAAAAGACAAAACGTCAGGTGTGTGCTCCTCTTACATGAGCCCTTCAAGAGATATGAAAGTAAGAGGATTCCAAGCGTTGGGGTCAGTAGAAGGAACAGCTTTGAGCAGGTCATAAGTCCCGTTCTGCAGATTGAGGCTGAGTGAGGCCGACAGTGGCAAGGATTCTGTCAGGCAGGAGGTGACCGGCTGGCCGCAGGAATTCTCGGCCTGCAGCTCGATGGCAAATCCTGCAGAACCCGTGCACATTTGTGGGTGCACACTACACCACCCACCCACATTACTTTCTGGTTGAAAAGCGTCAGGCATCTCTCCACAACAGCATAGGTTTCAGAGGAAAGCACAGACAATCAAGCTGCGAGATTTCATGATCATAGTAGTCACCCCAGATGATTGGGGAAGGGGGGTGTAGCAAGCAGGAAAACAGGAAACTATAAAGCAACGACAAAATGACTCACAGCACTAGCACCGATGCCGACACAATTAGAGCGCTTATGGTTCTGTAAAGCCTTTGAGTGAATTTGACATTTTGATCAAGGAGCATGGGTAAGGTCACTGGCATCTAGAGCACCCTTCATGAATACATCTCATCATCACACCGAAAGCACACATAAAAACAAATTAGGATTTATGCTCTCGGATAAAATCATTTGGCTGTTAATCAAAGGTAGCAAAATCCTTGGACACTGTGCTCTTCACCTTGAGTAGACAAACTCATTTTTTTACTAATCAATACAGATTAGTATTCAATACTGTACACTTGGGATCAGAGGTATTAAATCACAGCTTTTTAAAAAAAGATAGTTTAATGAAATATATGCCAATACAAAAGTAGAAATCAAAAAGGCAACAGAAATGAACAGCATGTCATTAACAACAAAGCTCCTGCTCACACTGCACAGGCATCCTTCAAAGCATTTAACATAACACAAATCAGATTTTCAAACTTCCATGTAAACAGAATTATGCACTGTAGGCCAGAAAAAAATGAGCCAAACTCAACTGCTATGAGGAACAGGAAATTGTCCAATCTCTCAAAGACAAACCCAGAACCTCTATAGCACAGTATATCCAAAAGACAATGTGAAATATAGGCAAACATTACAAGGTACCATCATCTGTTGAAAATTTGCTTTGGTCAGACAAGCACATGGAAACGATCTTCAGAAAAGGAACATCCTTCTATTATACTGATGTCATGTCATGTAAATTTAACTTGAATAATATTTGTTTTATGCCCGTTCCAGTCTGTGGGGAGTGGAGAGCCAACAGAAAACATGTATGACAGAGCAATGCCCAGCAAGTATTAATCTAGACCCTGTGACCACATCATGTGAAACTGTACTCTATCCGTATATTGTGATCAATTTCACTAGAAATTGAAAATAGGAGGAAAAATAATTCTCAATTTTTTCAATTTTGAAATTGCAATACACAAAAAGTATAACTTAACAATTCTATTGGATCTTGACTGACTGTCCCCTAACCCCTCTGGGGTACAACAGTACACCACACTACTTCTGCCAGCTCCGAGCTTTCTGTTCATTTCTTGAGAAGAAGATGGAAGCAACCGAGGACAAATCTGAAACTTCACACGCCCTGCTCACAGCGGCCAGATGTGCATGTTCACACAGAAGCACAACACGCGACACTTGATGTTGCAAAAGCACTCTGTGGAAATCTGCTGTGAAGGCTTCTGCACTTAACTAAACTCGGCCCGAATGACATGTCGTTGATGATTTTGGTTGCCTGTACCATTCAAACTGCACGCTAAACATGAAACCGGTGCCACATCAGGGTCGCTCTCCAAGATGCAGGCAATCTGGTCATATGACCATGGTCTTTGAAGTGCACATATTAAGAAAACTTCAAATATTACTAAAGCACCTCTTATTTCACAAGATTTCCAGTTTTCTTGTGGACCTTTTCATAACTTGAATGTATTTCACTTTCAGGTGACTCATACCCATACATGAGAAGGCATGTGTCTCAGTATGGACGTTTTGGCAAAAGAGCAGGTGTACATCGCTTACTGCGGTCCTAAGCCTTTCATCACTTGCAGACAAGTGTGTTGCTTTACGACTGCCTTCTTCAAACGGGGGTCCAGTGGCGTAACCTTATGCTGTGTCTCACAAAACATTTGAAGAAGTCCTTGTATTTATACCACCTAAGCCACCACTGAAATGCATTCAAGACAGGCAGACAGTCTTTGCCTGCAGCCCCAGTACAGAACAGATTAGGTGGCAAAGTGAGAAATTATTTTGCAAATTGACTTAAAGGGGAACATTCTTTAGAAAACCCAGACTGAACAAGCCCCGGGTAGAATTTAGCAGAGACACCTAGGGACATTGGCATGGAAATTCTGGCAAAGAGGGAAGATCGCCACCTACAGGTTCACATACAATACTTGCAGTAGCAACCTGTTTAGTTCCAAGGTCAGCATGACTGACCTGACACAGCCTTGCTTGGCTTCTCAGGTGTGATAAAATCAGGATTGAAATCTAGCCATCGACTTTTTAACCGTAAAAAGCTTAAGAAAAATAGTTCACAAAAAGACAAATCTTTTAATCTACCGAGTGATACACTGTGAAAATTAAGGCTTCGAAAAAAATGGCCCAGGAGCCCTTTAAGTTTGGTAAGTAAAACAGCATGTAGTCAGAGCTACACCATGTAAACTGAAGCCTTTGATTAAACCGGGATAAATGGTGCTTAAAAAGTAAAGCTATTTTAGATGTGAAATTGAAACGCTTGAGAAACAGTGTGAAGGAACTGTGAAAACTAAAAGATTAAATCAGAACCTTATATGGTTTATCTCCTCAGCAGTTCATGAGGAAAAATCCATTTTTAGAACAAATAAGATCTGCTGCTGACACGACACAGCAGATTAGGAATGTTTTTACAGATGCAAGAGCTGCCGGTAAAATCTGATTATCAACACCTTGTTTGTATTCTGAAGACCCATGGGATGAATTCATTCATTTTATTTTAGCTATCCTTAGCTCCTCTTATATAGCTATTGGTTTTATGGGCCTTCAGCACACGTAGCCTTTTCAAAAACAAAAAAGATAAAAAGCTATTTACATTGAAAATGTGGAACAAAGTTTCTAAGGTATCTACAGCAGTTAGGAGCAGGTTTAGCAAAGGAAATATTCAGAATTATTGGAACAGCTTGCAATTCTTATCCCAATTACATTATTTTTCATGATTACAGCCTTTGAGTGACTTGGAACTGCAGCGCAAAATAAAAGAAAAAAGGAACATTGCATTTAGTTTAAATGAGACGGCTTCATGACCGACGATAAATAAGACAAGTGCTCCATTTTTTGTATTAAATCCAAGCCTCAGTATTATTCTGTCTTTGATATTTACTGGTATTTAATAAACAACTGTTTGATCAGGTCTCATTTTCTTAGTTTTATCTTCTAGGTTAAGAGATAAGCTATAGCAAACACCATGACATTTAGAAAGTTATTTGTTGGATGGGAGGTGGGGAGGTTAGGAATGGGGGAAGGGGGGCACCATCCTGACTTGAAATGACTTGTTGCAGGAGGTACTAGCTGTAAAAAGTGCTGGGGAATCCTTCTTTGTCATTATATGCTATATATACCTAAATACCTGGGTTCCAAACTTGGTATTTGGGGGTTTCTTTTTTCAGAACATTTAATGTTCCCATATGCCATTTGGTGACCCCAGGACACCTGAAAACTCCCATCCTCTCATCCCCATTTCAAAAAGATACATCAACTACCTTTGCCTGTTGTGTTGTGCTTCAAACTGCAAACTACATGACCCATGTGATTAGAATATATTCTCCTGGGACACTATCACCGCTTCTTGATGTATATTATTATCCGTATTATACAGTCTCATTACTGATCTTCTGCATTAACCTTTCACTTTACATGAAAATACAACAGGAAATACTTCAGGCCACATAAGCATATGATGCATCCTCCTGAAGAGATGTAACTCAATTGCTCCTTATGAGCAGCTATTTGTTGACAAGCCTAAAGGTACATGCAACATTTTGTTCTGCCTTCTCTTTGTCATCATTATTTGAAAATAATGGACTTGATTCTGTGAAGTTATCTCACCCCTCTTTTCACAACTTTCACTACATAATAAATAAGGAAAACAAGGAACCAAGTGCTTAAGGCAACAATAAGTACAGAAACTTTTACCATTAAGTTACAATGAAATGGCAGCAAGCTGCTCCTTTTTTGGTTTAGTCCAGAATCAAAAATATAAAAAGTGAATAAAAGCACCAAATTCATCACACAACATTCTGCTTATCTTTAATGGTTTCATAATGTTCAATGGCAGCTTCAAAATCAAATTCACTGATGGTTGGGCCGTCTACTGCAATCTTAACAACATTGGACAAGCCCTCTTCTGTCAGGAGTTTTTTGGTTTGGTCTTTGGCCCTGAAAACCTTTTCACATGTTGCAGGCTGTACAGGTAACACCGAGGCCAGAGAAGCCAGCGTGGCAAAGTCAGGAAAGAGCTCGCGCATCTCCGAGTCAATGAACACCAGCTGAGCACAGAGCTGCTGGAGAGACAGGTGGCCGAGGCTGACGACGACGCGCTTGAAGAGTGGGAAGTCAGTCCTCGCCCTCTCCTGGCTCACCAGGCCCCCGTACTGATCTAGCAGCAGGTTTAGCTCAGTCGCCCCGTAGCTCTTGATGTCATCAACCAAGGCCTGCACGTAGCACTGGGGGCTGAAGAGCACCACGAAGGCATTCACAAGTTCCACAATGTCCTCCGGTAGTCTATCCTGCAGGCTCTTGCAAAGAGTGCCCAGGTAGGCATCTTTCAGCTGCCCAAAAGCTCGTACATCTTCCTGGGAGCAGTTGGTCATCTCCACTCCTTTATAGTACAGTCTGACGCCCTTTTCGCAGTCCTCCTGAGGGTGCTCGTTCATGTCACAGAGGAATTCCTGAAACTGACACCCACTGGCTGACCTTAGTGCCTTCAGGCAGGCCAGAGATGCCGATATGACTGGCTTGAGGACGGACAAATTCAGCTCTTCAGCTCGGAAGAACGCGCTGAGCCTCTGCAGGATGGGCAGAACGTCCATCAATACTTTTGTGAAGGCCACAAAATTGAATTTTTTGAGCTCCTTGCAGAGTCCTAAGGCCAAGGGAGATTTTCCAGCCAACTCTTCCAGAAACAGGACCAGTGTGGGCCACAATGAGTTTATTGCCTCTACTGCCGGCAACACTGATGCCCATTGAACGGGCTTGCAGTCCCTGAGGTCAATCTTGCTGGACTTCAGGACCTTATCCAGCTCTTCCAAGCTGTTGTTGTCATCCTCATAACTGGAAAATAGACGAAAGACAGCATCTACAGTTTCTTCATACTTTCTAAGGTAGGCAACATCCCTGATGATATCGGACAGAGCAAGACAGTCATTCGAGGATAACCAGGGAAAATGTTTTAAAAGAGGACACAAAGGTTTCAGTCTGGACACAGCGTTGCTGATTTTGTTTGTGCTCAAACTTGGTTCATCATAGGCAAGCCAAGACACCTTGGAAAGAGGAACACTAAAGGTGCTGAAGATTTCTACTAGCCTGTCTACGACTGTCTCGGTTTCTCCATCTGGAAGGTCAAAAAGTCCGAGAAACATAACTGAGGCATGTCGGTCAAAGGGGGACACTGTGCTCACAAATAGAACTAGCTTTTCATTTTCCAAAAGGTCAACAGCTCCTCTCACAATGAGCCCAATAAATGGGGAATCAGTCATTCTGCGGCTATCTTCATCATGAAGAACCTTGACAATTGCCTCCTACATCCATTAAATAAAAACAAAAGAAGAATGTTTAGCTTTAAGTAATACAAAGTAAGTTAGATTTCTCACTACTTGTACTCAAGAACTACTGAGGCACAAAGGAAAATGGTAACTTTCCTGAGCATAAAATAAAAATTCCAGGTCATCAGATTTATGAGCTCTTCTATAATAAAGTTGTACCAATAACGTGAAGTGCTCTGCAGACAACCAGGACTCATTTAAGTCTCTATCAAACAATGTCTACGCTATTGTTTTTTTGTTGCACTGAACTATAATGGGTTCCCTTTGGTTAGCGTATGTGATAACTCAGTCTGCTGCCTGTAAATTAACTACCTTGACCTAGCTCAAAAACAACAATAAAAAATATACACATGTAGTGAAGCATTTTATCACTGCACAGGATTAAGAACAGCAGCCAAAATGAAGCAAACGTAAGACTGCCACACATTATTTTTCTTATCAAAAATACTCTATGTTAAATGAAACACACACCTGCATTTCCTTTATACTGTGAGCCGAGTAATAATCATGGCATTCCCCAGCCAGTAAAGACTGGCAAAGGTTGTACTTCTGGAGCTCCAGCAGCGAACTAAGCTTTGAATCTGGAATGCCTTCCTTCGCCATGCAGTAAACCGTGGTCATGATGGCGATTTTGGCTGGGCTGACCAGCCTCCTGACTGGCGGCTTCAGGTCGCGTTCATTCTGGGGCCCGAGGGGCTCCCATACCTTCTGCCCCCGGCCGGCCGCCAGGGCGTGCCGGTGGGCGCCGGAGGTGACGTGGCGCAGCAGGGCGTGCCGCTGAAAGTTGTCCGTGCCCACGGTGAAGGCGTTGTCCGCCTTGCCGTGCTTGTTGCTCACCAGCGCCCGGCGACACGCCACGCAGAACATCAGCTTCCTGTCGTAATCGAACTCCAGCCAGGGGAACTCCCCTTTCCACTGCTCGTTGAAGTAGCGCTTGCACTTCTTGTTGGAGTTGGAGGCCTCCCCCGCCGGCTTCTTCCCTGGCCTCGGCATCGCCGCCCCTGGGGTTTGAGCCAGCGTTATTTACCGACACCGCACTGAAAACATCTTCCAAGAAACAAGAACACATTCACCTTAGCTCTGCTTTCAGCTACCACGTCATGACTAGACTGGAGAGAGGGAAAAGAAGAGAGGTGTCAGGAACTAGGGGAGACACACATAACAGCAATGTCCGTTAACCAAAGGGACAGACCCAATAGACACTACTGTGATGAAGTAGCTGGTAAGACGCACGATTATCATCAGCAAAACAGACTCCTTTAGAGTACAGATTTCCAGCAAACTTCGAGACACGACATTTAGACTTTTGTACTGCTGTACTGTAAGCACACCCAATGCAAAAAAGTAGCTTCCTAAACTTTTTATTACCATTCAAAAAAGAAAGCTTAATTTGGATTCATCCAATGTTAATTTTTTGACTGACTCAGATGACAGCAATAGACCTTCAAGAAACCAAGGCCCCCCTCATCTGAGAGTCTTCTGTAGGAAACACCAAAGCACTCGATCATCACATGATCAGACATGATCAGGCAGGACAAGTGTATTCTGAAGCAGATTTTGCAACTATGGGCTGAAGTACTTAAGGTTACATCCAGTGCAGACTATACGTTGAACTGGACTATCCTGTGCCTTGTGGATCCAATGCCAAGTAATTTGATCAAGTTCTGCGTAATACAGCACTGGCCTGCATCTACGGACACTAGCGACATAAAACGGGGCTGTCCGGAAACAACCACTCTTCACAGCTCTTGACTGTAATAGTAGTGTCAGTATCTTTGAAAGGTGTACAAAATAATTTAATTGAATAATTGCAGTCAATATACAGTGTTACTTGGATGGCTGACATAATGCAACTAGTTTAAACAAATTCTTTCAACACAGAACAGGCAATTAACAAACCTAAAATGGGTTATTCTAATGATTTTAATAAAAAGACTAATACTATAACTGGAAAGTGACTTTTCCAAACCATTAAATACCATGCTGGCGACAAAAATGAGTTATTACTCAAAACCAATTATGAAGTGTATTCAATTTACTCCCGCTACACTGCGCCACTCCAAAAGGATGTACTGTATCATAATTGATGGTAACCAATTATTTACACAATTTGCACGCTCTATTTATTTCATTTTTGTAATACACCACAATAATAAACGTCTATGCAATATTCTCCTTTTCTTCTCTCGATTTCCATCTCCTGGAGATGCTGTTAAGAGTGCCCTTCACACTTCGCTTAAGACTCACGTCTGGGAAATGTAATCTCCGTGCCACTCGCCATTTTTCCTGACCGTAACTTTTTATCACCACATAACACACTTTCTGCTTCCGTAAAGTTACCGCATTAAGAACTATTTATGTGTGTTTGTGTTTTAATATAATTAAAAGGGGGCTTTAGGGCTTTTAAATGCAAGACCGTAGATTTAAACGCCACACTCAACAAAAATATAACACTAAATTGATCTAGACGCAAATCTACCACTTTAAAAACTACGTAAAACGCTTAAAAGTAATTGGCATTATTTATCTTAATGGCACCACAAGTCGATTTACACATATGCACACCTATTAGTAAAGGTTAAAAAAAAGTAAAAACCGTTAAGCATCTCTGGCTACGCAAACCTGATTTCAGTTCGAAATAAAAAATATATTCTCCTGGCTCAAAATGTGATATCAGACGTTCATGAACTAAACTTAATAGGTACTATTAAGTTTAAACGACTGTACCTCTCTCCTACGTCTATGGCGATGGCACAAAAGTTGATATTTGAGAAACTTTGCTAGCAATAATCTGTAGGCAGTACACCGTTACTGCGCAGCGCTGGGAGCCGCCATCTTTGTTTGCCATTGCTTGTGAGGCACTGAGGGGTTTCTCAAACAGGCACGGCCACTAACGGCGGAAGCAAGCGTAGCTGTCTGGCTAGTTCAAACACGATGAGATGCCACATACAGTAGCCAGGTCTACAGTCGGAACCGAAGACCTCCCTGCAAAAGGGAAATTCGTGAAGGCAGCCGTTCAAAAAAAGCGCACCACAACCCCGCAAGGCGAGTGCTGTCGCGCAAGCGAAGACCTTCCTTTTAATCCCCGGAGCGCCACGGAGCCTGCCTGCGTAAATAAGTCACCCTTAAAATGTCCTGTTTCTAAACAGTCGGGGGACAGTTTCATCTTGACCCACTCAGCACGTCATTTGGTCTCGGCGTTTAAGAGGTCGCTTGAAATAACGCCAACAACCCCGCAGTTCTTAGCGGATCACAATACTAATGATTTAAAGGTGACATGCAAAGACCGCCCTGAGTATACTGCGCCATTACTACTAGAAGAGACTGGATTGGAGTGTGCGAAGTGTGTCTACACGTCGGATTATAGTGTTAACTAAACTTAAACATAAGCCCGAAGCTATTAAAGGAGAAAGAGTTAAAATGTAATTTCCAAAAAAATACGGTGAGACTGATTTTGCAGACAGTATAATACTTTCGGACGTCCATAATCCATCAACATAAACACACGTTTAAGAGCTTGCCATTTAAATGACTACATGACATTGCTACGTATGTGCTCCCACTATTTAATAATTGTAACAGCTTCTTATTACAGTTCATTAGAACTGCGTTAATGTACGAGGATAGCTCCACACGAATGCTATTCGAAATGAACGGTATGCGCTATTTTAATTTCCCAGGAAAGCAGAAACACGCACGGCCCAGGCTTTCTCATTACGCCGATGTCTTCCCCGGCTGTCAACGGCGTGACAATTGAAATTAGGCCGCTTGCATGCAGGAAATGCTCTCTGCGTCGCGAAAAAAGCGAGGACACGCTGACAGCTCCTGTCGGGCTTGCTTAGAGCTGCTTTATTGTCAGGTAATACCATTCAATGCAACTGTTTACAGAACCAAGACCTCATAGCACCAAAAGTACAGAGCAAGATTCTCAACAGACTTAAAAGCAAGAAACACACTTGGTATAGCTGTCTCATTGAAATGCCTTTCGGCCCACCTGTGCTTAAAGAAAAAGAAATCCCTACACTGGTTTTCTTCCTTTTCGGTTTTAGTTCAATCACGGGTTATTCTGCCTTACATCTCCCTGTCATTCACACAAGTCAGAAAGAAATTATTTGGATTCTTCAGATTACTGTACATTACAAAGCACGGTGATCCAGCACAACCACTCTTTGTGCACAACAGGAATCTGCTGATGTTCTGCTGTTATATTCAAACTCCAGGGACAGTCAGCCTCGACTCTTCCACTGCACTGCAATCCATTCCAGCTCTTTGCTCCGGCTCATCCTTAATTAAGTGGGTTAATTAAGCACTGAAGGATTAAATCTGTCATTTATTGGAAGGTACCCAGTCCTAGTAATGGAATGGGAAGGGGCAATACTGAGGACCACTCTTGTTCAACTCAATAAAAAAAATGTTCCAACCGATACTGTCATAGGCAGGTAAGCAAATAAAATAAACACTGATAATGAAGTAAGAATTGTAAGTTTAATTGTAGACTACCAGTAGCATAAAAATATATGCTGTTACTCTGATATAGTATAGTATGTCATGCATGTTTGCATATACAGTGCATTCATGCCAACTTCTGCAGACCATCTAGTCTAGATTTTCTTCCCCTTAGGATGTCTGTAAGATCATTACCGTGACTGAAATGAATATAATGTAACATTTCCGTTTCTGAAGATACACCAAATGGAGGTTTATGCACTGCGTTGGTGAGAGCTTCTGTTGTGAAGGTAAAGCACACACAGTTCTCTACTTGAGCAACTGGATGCATTTTGAGAAGTCAACTACTTTTAGAAAATAAGTTGAATAACTAAAACAATCTTTAATTTCAAATAGGTTTTAAAGAAATCTGCCCACAATAACACCGATAAAACCTTCTACCTTCAGCTTATATCATATTTATTTATGAAGCCTATTTGGCTTAATGGTAAGAGCTCTTATCTGTATTTCCACAGTGGCACTGAAGCCGTAACATGCTATAGAATTCCAAACTGGAGATTCCCTGACTGTAGTCTCAATAACTACATCTTTAACACCCATAATTGTGAATCTTACTAAAGATAGACCAGGAACTCCTGCACTCCTAGAGATAAGGAGCCAGTCATTTTGGTGAATAGAGCACTGTGCAACCTGACAGTTTTACGTCCCTCCTTTTCCTGTCTACTACTGCTGCTTATTAGAAGAGCTCTTAATCACAGTAACTAAGCTCAGGACATGAAAACTAAGCAGCTGTGGTTGAAAAGGGAAAACAATATATACACACAGACAACATCTGTTGGCTGTGAGCTGCTTTTTCCAGCACAGGCTGTGTGAGTTAGTTCTCATTCATTTTAGACCAAATGAGAGGAGACCATTCATTGGTTTGTTTCTTTTTTAACCCAGGGGTCCAGAGAGTCAGCATCAATAACCTGGCTGTTCTGTTTATTGCAGACCCTCACAGCCTTCGTCATAAGTCCACATTTCAACCTCTGTCCCCACATTCGTCCTCTGGGTTGACCTTGGCAGAGCCTTTTTAAAGATTTTCAAATACTAAAATCAAATCCTCTCAGTCTCCTCTAAGTCAAGACTTCGCTGGCTGAGCTCTGAAAGACAGCTTTCAGGGAGCCAGAGTGTATGATTTGGGATCTTTATTTATTTTACAAACACGGCCTCAGGGGATTCGGTGCTCACCATTGCAAATCTGCCAGAATCAATAATGTCAGCTGGAGAATGAAATTCTCTCAAGGAGTCCATGAAAGGGAAAATGGGAATGTCAAATGAAAGAGCACATCCCATTCCATCTCATTCACATCTTTACGGCTTACCACAACACCTGATACTGTATACTCTGTGGTTCTGGCTGACCCAGAGTTTCCCACAATGCACTTGTTGGTTTTTGTTCCACTGAGCTTTCGGTTAAAATACTTACAGTAGTAATGGGAAGCTCTTAGAGTATCAGGGGGTCCAAATAGAACAGTACACTGCAGGAGTGGGGGTTCTGTGGCTCGGAACCTCTGAAACACTCACAGTCCAGTGATCAACAGAATTCAATGTCTTTTCGTTACTGGCTGTAATCTGTGTACATGCCTGCCTCTCAGATCAGAAGGTCTGGTGCCAGGACAGCCACCCATCACATCAGTACTTCTGTTCTGTCAGAACGGCGACATTCATTTACACTGAATGAATTAGAAGAAGCCGATTTTATTTTCTTAGATATTCTTAAACGGGTCAAATTCGGGCCGAGGGATAAAATCTGCAGCCCACCTGGAAACAAATGCTCGGAAATCCCACTTTATTTCCCAGACAGTTCAGACACTGTTTTCTGGCAGAGTGGCTATTTTATTGTCAATATTGCAGTGGCGCAGAACGGTGTTGCACACTGGGACTGCTCTATCTGGATGATCGGCAGAATAGCTGAGCTATGTTCTTTTCAAATGGGAAGATTACATTGAATCACACAAATATACATGTACATTAAAAATGATGTGGTCAAGAGACAGGCTGCTGACACTACCTGACAAGATGACATGTTCACGGCACGTGTTGCACCACATGCGGCTCACTGATCCAAGATCAAAACATTTTTTCTAACCATTTTTTTCCCCAACTAGGAGGTCAGAGACAAATCCATGGGAAATCTCTCCTGTCCATTACAAAAGAATGAACACTCCTGATCATTACGGTTCTTGTCGCCATTGGACAGTGCTGTTTTTTGATGTTTAATAGTAATATTTTTAGAAAAGGTTACAGACAGAAACAGTTTGAGGAATTACACAGTCCATAGTTTGTGGACTACACGGTAAAGAGATTCTTGTGACTAGACAAGAAATGAAAAGCTTTTGTTTACTTTAGGGGCTGGAAGTTCTTATTTACCACCTCTAACATCATTTCAAAACAGTAGATGCCCAAAGATACAGCTCCTTTGGGGTGACTTTCGCCTCTAGATTGTTCTCCGCTGGGCTCTGAACTACTTAATTCAACTACATTTTACAGAATCGTTCTGCAGGGCATCTTCCCATGTCTTCAGTGGCTGTCGGATTTAAGTCCCACTGTCTTGAACCTTCACCCTCCACAAATCAGAATTCCCATTAGACTATCTAGAAGGAAGGTCTCCATTCTCACGCATGAAAGGTCCTCTTGACTCTGGATTTATGAAAGCTGTGAATGGCTGATTGCGATAAGCCTTTGCTCTGTACACAGCTATTTTATACCACTTTGAGAAGCATTGGTCTGCTTGGTTTTTTTCAAGAGCACAATGCCCTTTCACCGAAAAAGGAAACACACCTTCAAGGCAGGCTAGAGGGCAAGCAATTGATGCCCTTTGTTGATTAAACAGTACGACAGCTGATGTTCAAGCAGGATGTGAATGCATGAACAACTGACCTTATATTGTAACACGTTCAATGAGTTCAAGCCCTGTTTTAACAAAGCCTCTGGAACCTAGAAGCTGAGAAAATGACTAAACACTGTACTTCTCATTTCCAGCAGCATTAAAGACAAGTGCACATTACTGGATACAATGCCACAATTTTAACTCAACCTTCAAGCAATCGAAGCTGACCGAAGCTAGTTAAATGTACAGTATAAAGGCCCTGAATGATTCAAAAGACTGTTCCTTCAAGAATGCTTTGACCCGTGTAGCTGAAGGCACAGAATGTTTGCTGAATTGAACAAATGCTCTTTCAAAAAGGCCAGCTCAAATATTTGAAGAAGATTGTTCCTGCAATTGAAACCCAGTGAAGTGTCGTTAACCATCAAAGCATGGTACTTACTGGAGAAAGGAGAAAAGAGATTTAATATACAGATAGGAAATAAGACGGAGGTCACTGGAACAGGGTTTCAGATTAAGCTACATTTGTATGTGATTTGTATTTAACCCAGGACGACTTCATTTCAGTCCTTTCCAAAGGAATCCCCATTGTGCACTGCCATTCCTGCAGAAAAATCCATGTACACTGCGAATTCGAGTCCTTAAATAATTTACTACAGAAAATTGCAGAGCATTTTTACATTAACATTTGTCCGTATATTGAAAACAATCTTCACATAGGTAAACAATGAGGAGAACCTGTCTCCGATCGAGTCCAACATCAGGAAGGGATTCCATGATACAAAAGCAGTGGTTTAACACTTGAAGCTTCAGACTGTCGCAGAAAGTGGGCGTTAGTTCATTCCCAATAACGGGTCGGTAACACAACCACCCAGGTGGTTGCCAGTCCTGTTGCAATTCAGAGGAACTTGGCGGAGGTCACAGTGCCACAGGCCAATACTGTATGTTTCACTTTGTCCAAACACACGGTGCACAATCAGATCGTGCCCGCAACCCT